ACACACACACACACACACACACACATACACACATAAACAGACATATACACACACATAAACGCACTCAAACAGACACAGAAACACACGTAAATATTAGTAAAATTATGAAGAAAAAAGTGATATTGAATAGAGGGCAGTTTGCATGATAATGGCGTAAACATTGTGAATAAGATACTTCGCCGGGGTGCCTTCTCAACGCGCCTTAGAACAGCATTTCTATTTTGGTAAGAGCAACCGTCTAAAGTAGATAATCACTGTTTTACAGTTGGCTTCAGTTTGAAGATAGTTAATGATTCATAACGCACACTGGCCGACAATTCACCCTCACCTTTATGTCAAACGTAGCATCTCACATCCATCGTCACCAAGTTATCTATTGTAAAGTTGTGCTTGTAGACAAGGCGCCAAGAGAACCGACTAAAGGTCCATGGCGATTACACAGATTTTTACCGTTCTTGGTAGCAGCCAGTTTCTTATCGTTGTCCTTTTCGGCTTGAGCTTGTGGCTCTTCTTCATTGAAACGATTCCAAATCTCATCACCGATTTTTCCGCCCGTGTTGCCCACACACAGGTCGCACTGGCGCGTTAACAGACATATTTTGCTCATGGAAACTGCCCCTGAAAGTCGAGATGGCCCAATGCACTTTTTGGTTTTTTTTCTGGTAACAAAGCTCAACATACTGCTGTGAAGTTCGTTTATACTATTGAAAATTGGCTCTGTATACAACTTTCCTGTTTTGCTTTCGACAATAATGAGAACTTACTTTGGACAGGTTTTCAAAGAAATCTTCAATAAGAAATGTTTTTGCGCAGATGTTTTCTTCTAGTGAGGGTTGTCTCTTGTGGCAGTGTCTGGGCAACGCTCTGCACTGGCAGTTTTATTGGTGACAGAAGTGTCTCGATTCACTAAAGTGTTCCTCATAATACACCAATTACCAATAGCTGTTGTCCTGAGGAATATGCTTTTGCAAACACCCGGAGTTTCGGGCGATCATTTTCCAAAAGATATTCAACATCTATTCATGTCTAGAGATGCCCAGGACTCTCTTCCGTTTGGGTGTTTAATGTATGCCGCTTTTCCTTCTCAGTGCAGGGGCCAGATATAATTGAAAACTTTCTGTCTGTCACATTCGGAAAGTTCTTTGCACTTCAGCCCAGCTCTGTTGCATTCACATGACCTTTTCTTGTCTCTAACGGGTTTGTTTTTATCATTTCAGACGTATGTCTGACCTTGCTAGCATAAATACGTTCGTAAGAAGTTCTGCTTCTGTTCTGCTGGAACGTTCTTCTATTGTAATTTGTGTTTATAAATTCAGACTGTTTTCATGATTTGGTTTAGACGACATATACTGTGGGGAACCAGGAACCAGGCTAAGAATGCAACGTTGCTTCCACAATGGGCGGCATATGAGCAGACAGATCAGGGGTTTCTGACCCGAAAGGCGATACAGGGTCGACCTCGAGTAAGACATGAGGTGACTGAACTTATGGATTAGATAAGTGGGGTTTCAGAACTAATGCTGGCTCGTCAAAGTGTGGTGAGTTACCGTAAGGGGTACAGGTGGGTGTGGTGAAGCAGATGTCAGAAGTGAGGCAGATTTGACAGAAGATGAAGATTCGTCGATTAGGGCGGATACAAAACGTGTCGGAACTGGAAAACGTAGTGAATCAGGTACAAAAGGTAAATAAGGGTTGCTTTGACCACTCCTAAGCGTCGATGACCTGTCTCGAATCACCGTGTCCAGCTGTAGTGAAAGCTTGTAAGCGGCAGGATAGCGATTTCGGGTTCTGATCACAACCGCGTTTGGGAAGCGGTGGACTTACGAGTTTTGTTTTCTTACGATAAAGGACACTTTTATGCAGTTTTTTTCTTCATGTAAATCTTCTGTAGGTATGTGCACCGTACGCAGTAGAACTTGATGGGGAGAAAAAGACAATTTCGCAAAAATTGTCACTTACGAGGTCTGATCATGGAGGCATCGAAATACTATGTTTAGTACCCTGTTGTGTTCTATTACCCTTTCCCACATTTGTCGTAGGGCCAATATTTTGTCGATGCATCCTCTCCCCCTTTTCTAAATCCCATTTGGGCCTCACTCAGAAATTGTTCAACTTTGTGTCGTGTTCGCCATTCCAATATCTTGGCGAACTTTTTGCCCACATGGCTTAGCAGTTAAATTCCTCTATACATTCCAGTCTCTCTTGCTGCCTTTCTTCTTCCAGATTAGTACTATGACCGCTTTTTGCCAGTCGCCGGGAACTTTTCTTTCTCTCAATGCTTTCTGGTAGAATTTTGTGAGCCTAGTTATTCCAGTTTCACCACTTGCTAGGATGGTCTCCGTGGTGAGCTCATCTGAGTGGTGTTCAAAAGTTAAATAGTAGATTAATTTTTTAGTTCGGTTGAAAACCGATTAATAATCGATGGCCACTTTTTTTATTAAGCACATGCGTACTCAGTGGTGGCTTGACAGTCTTTCACATACGCGTCTCCACGAGCTGGGCGATCGAGGTCTAGATCAAACGCTTTTCGCCGATTTGCTGCCTCGCCACCCTTCCCACCACCCCACCCTAGTCTTGTAGATTTCAGGCAATATGGATAGATCAATAGTGATGTAATGTGTGGCAAGCGAACACTATACAATGTGTAATGTAGAAGAGTGCAATTAAAATAAAACATATCTTTGTAATCCAGGATCAAATTTTGCTCTCCACGTGACTCCGACAAGATCTAAATTAATGATGCACTGATTGTGAAAATATTATTATTTTTCGGCCTTGGTCAATTTTTTAACAAATGGAATTAGATTTTTAAATAATCTGGAGAATTTTTAAAGGAACCTCGCCATCTTGGCTCCCTGGCGAAATATCTTGGGTAGCTATATCTAGACATCATCAGCCCAAAAACAATTTTAGTAAGAGGGCGATGCCCATTGCCCTTTTATTGTTAGCGAGGGCTAGGACTCACGCTCAAGCTTACGTGACAGATCGAAGGGAGATAACTCATTAATCCATCTAATGATTGGTAAACAAGTTCCCTAGACGTTGGGCAGTCGGTTCTGCATGTATTTAACAGAGGACCTGAAAACCTCGCTGTACCGACAGCTTCGCGGTACCACCAACTTCATGCCCGTCCCAAGGTAGGCGATATAACGGGGTTTGACTGTATATATTATAACATACTTTGCAGTGTCGTATTCAATCAAATGTTTGTGAGACTGTCTCATTTCTGGTGTTTTCAACACTCTGCGCAGGCCAGGGAAAGAAACACAACGAGGTCACCCTTTAAACTGATAAGTTATAACATGGATTTCTAGGAGACTGAATATGTGAACCGTACTATCATTCCCATGTACGTCTGGAGGAGGAAAGAAATGTCATGTTTTTCTGAAGAATTGTGAATAAATAAAACTATAAAGGTTTCTCAAGTTATATCTTTTTGTTCCTAATAAATTTTTAATAATCATGTTTAAATTGAAAAAGAATTTTTGTTGTTGTTGTTGTTTTTGTGGGGGTTTTTTTTTTTGGGGGGGGGGGAAGTTGTACGACATGTCTTTATTGCGGCATTTCTTCGGTCTTTCTTAAAAACGACCGAGATTACTGTGAAAGAGGTGCTAGAAAGAAGGAATATGGGGCATGGGAAGACAAAGAATAACATGGGTGAACAACATAAAAACATGGGCAGGTCTGGGTATAGCAGAATGTTCAACAGCAGCTCGAGACCGTGAAGGACGATGGGTCAT